TGAATCCAAATTTTTTTTTTTTTCTTTCAATAAAACATTATAATAATTTTTTTAATAATTATAAAGTTTTCAAATAATTACATAAAGAGAAGTTAGGAAAAGGTTGAAAGTAATTATAATTAGTAAGTGAAAAATATTTGTACGTGTATTCTTATGTTTATATTTCATTAATATAAATCATATTTGATTAAAATTTTAAATAGTTATCAATTAATTTTTTTATAATTTTTACGGTGATCATAATATTTTATGTTCTCTTTTAGTAACACGTAAAATAATCATAACTTTTAATTTTATATTAATATACAGTAAAATTAATAATTTAATTGAAAAAAATATAAATCTTTTTAAATCTTTAAAATATTAAATAAATTATAATCCTTAATTTAGAAATAAAATATAATGACCTCTTAAATTTAAATTGACAGATACAATTTTTAAGTTTTTTTGTAATGAATATTATATTGATGATCAGATTCATACAGAAGGTAGATACAAATTTTTGTTTATAAGAAAGAAAAATAAAAGTTATTATATATGACTTTGTACTTTAGTTTTATCTAAGTGTTACGAATGGCGAATCCTGAAGATATGTGTGAATCTTGGAAGTTGGAATTTGCAGCAGTGAGCAGTGAAGTGGAGTAGAAGACCCCACTCGTATGGCAACAACTCATTCAACAATGCATCCAAACAGACATAAATCACATTCTCCGCTGAAAGGGTTACATTGCAATAACTCATCCCACAATGCTTCCAAACAGACATAGATCATATTCTTCGCTCAAAGTGTTGGTACATCTACTCATTTACTATTCAATTCATCAAAATATATACATATCAGCAAAAAAAAAAAACCCTTCTTCTCAATACCCATTCAAAAAAGTATAATTAAATGCATCGTCTGATGAGGTTTTCGCACCTTTATTTTCTCTGTCAAAGTTACACCTTTACTCACCCTTCCATGTTTTTACCTTTATGCCTCACCCCATGCTTTCACTTTCTGCTCCAAGCTATATAATATATCTCAGGTCAAGTTCAATAAATATCACTGTTCTCCACCCAAAAAACTATATGCACTGATGGTTAATTATTGATTTAATCTTTGTTAATATAATTTTTATTTTAAAAAATTATTAATATAAGTGTTTTATGTTAATAACATGATGCATAATATTATTAGTGTAGATTTATAATATCTATCCTAAAAATCATTTTCTTGGGAGGAGACCTTGTTTAGATTTGAGAGAGCTTCTAAATTCGATCAACATTCATTGCCATCAATTCAAATTGCTTTCATTTCTTGGCTTTAATTGTTGAGAGGTTTTCTTAGATAAACAGATGTTCCCTCAGATCAGAAACAAACATCTAGCTATCCGACATCTTACTACAGTGCATGTCCATTAATTCACTGTTGCAGCTAACAAATGATTATGAGATGGAAGTACTTGAATTCGAGTATTACGTATTTAGAGAAAAAGTTTTGTTGTTTAGAATAAAATTACTTCCAATAAAATATAATTGTAGTATTAAAAAAACATTGCACTATAATTACAGTGTATAATCTCTCTCTCAGGCATGTGATAATAGCATAAACACCTAAACTTTTTATTTATTTGATCCACTAATGCAACAATATTGTTATCCACGTAGTTTATATACAATAAATAAATATAAATTAAGGTATAAAAAATTATTGTTCTACCACAATTCCACAAGTTATTCGAATTGCCATATGTTAGAAAGATGATTATTGATTACCTCTGAAATATGCAGTTACTGATTAAAACTAATAGAAAGAAAAGGAAATGTTGTAGTGTAGCTATACAGAGAATATAGAGGCAAACTCTTGCACCGTAGCTATCTATCAAAGAGAGCCAGAAAGGGAAGGAATGCATCAAAAGGTGGGGAAAGTGGTCCCAAACACTATATATCATTAACAGGGTAATCCTATAGGAGCACCCTCCTCATGCCTTCTTTCTTGCTTTGGTTTGAATCGTCAAAGAACAATTACCAAACACACCCACTTTTCCTCCCTTTTTTTCTGACACAGTTTAAGCTTTAACGAAGATACACATCAATATGCCGAAGATGCACATCAATTATATATGTTTTGAGGTTTTATAAATAAAACTAAACAAAATAAGGGTAGATAAAATAGTTAATATATTTATTTTTAGTTAAGTATTTGTTGAATTACAAAGATAGAATTAATTTTTATATTTTTATATTTTTTATTTTATTTTATTTTATTAGTGTAATATTTTTTATTTTAAGAATGTGACTGTAGTAAAAAAGAAAAGTAATAATAAAAAAAATTTTCCTCAAAGTGCCTTTTAGGATTTAGGATGTCATGTTTAAGAATGAGGAAAGAGGAAGAGAAGAGTTAGAAGTGTTTAATTTTGGGAGTTAATTAATTAAAAAGAGAAAAGTTAAGAAATTTTTCTAAATTATTTAAAACCCTTTTGAGGTTAGTTTTTTGAGTGTCTATTTTGAGATTTTTTTTTTCTCTTTTATTCTCTCATGTTCTTTTATGATTAGATTCTATTTTTTTAAAATATGTTAGTTTTTAAATTAATATTTGTTTAAAAGATTTATAAAAAATAAAAATTTTATTTTTAATAATATTAATTTTTAGAAAGAGAAAAATATTTTATTTTTTATATTTAAAAAATAAAAATATATGAATAAAAGATATAAAAGACAATAATATTATTTACAAAATTAAACCTTTGTCATTCTCTCTTTAAAATTTTTTTTTAAGTTTTTTTTTAAACATCTAAACAAAGCCTTAAATGTTAATTTACTCTTTTACTTCTCCTTTTTTTCTTCTCTTCTCTGCTTTTTATTTTTATATATTTTTAAATTTTAAAAATATTTTAAATTATATATATGTTTTCTATAAATTAAAAATAAAATTTATAAAAAAACTAACAGTTTCATAGAATTTGATAAATTTTATTTACTGTTTATTGTAAAAACTAACAGTTAAGTCCTTTCCATCCGTTCCATTTCAATATTTTTTTATACATCAATACTTTATATTTATAAAATTATTTATTGACATAACACATCATAATACTAATAGTATAAATTTATAATATTTACATTAATAATTTAATTATTATATAATAAAAATTATATGAACATATGTTAATCCAAAGTTAAAGCACAAGGAAATGATATATTTATTAATTTTTGGTAACGATTGATATAATTGTTGTTGTGGCCTAATTTTTTCTGCCATTCCTTACTCTTTTCATTTTATTTGCATTGGAATTACTATTTTTGGTTTCTTTCCATGTACAGTGCACATGGGATGTGCTATTCTAATATAGTAATTAAATTGAAAACGACAGTGTAGAAATTCAAAATATAAATAATTTTTAATTTAATTCATACACATTATCCTCTTGTATTTTTAACAAATAATATTATAACAGTAATAGATAAAGAATATAAATATAATTATCAAATTAAAATTTGTTAATTATATGAATTTAAAATACATTATAATCCTTCATTTTTATTATGTTTTTAATTCATTTCTTTTGTTCCTTGTCAATTTTAATTAAAGATGTGTACTATGTTCTTTTTCCCAAAACTATTTTATTAAACGATAACGTATTACTTTAGATTTATTTATTCAATATTATAAGTTTGAGTCATTCAACATATCATTATTATTAATATTTAGCTGGAAAATGATTTTAAATGTACTTACATTAGATTAATGTAATTCTAACAAAAATTATATTTAATATTCATGAGTTAAAATACTATAATAAATAAATTAAAAACACGAAAACTAAAATGAACACAAATAAACATAATGACAAAAGATGTAACTGACATTTTTCAATTGTTGATTAGGTAAAATGCACTTTATACTGATATTGATTTAGTTCCTATATTTTTTATATATTTATATGCATAGTTATTTTCGACAACTATAATAATATTAGTGATAAAGTTAAGCAGCCTCAGTGTCTATATCATTATACAAAAAGTATGAGTTTTAAGTCTGAAAAATCAAGAAAATGGCAACAGAAGTCAAATTAAAAGGGGTCAATGTAATGAAAAGTTCAATATGTAAATTTTCTCTCTTTCAAGTTTCAACAACATGAAAGCTCCGTCTGATTTTAAAAAATTTAAATAAAGAGTGACAGGGACTCCATGCTATCTTGCACCTAAATTAATGAAAAAGCTACTGTACCACCCTATGCTGCTGACACTGCATCTCCCTCTCCTGTTAAAAGCATGTGCGCCTTTAGAGCCTTATGCGTGTTTGTTTATTATGAGAGAGACGATTGCCTGTGCACTACCATTTCAACTGTGGCACTGAAAAACATGGCATGTTTTTATATGTATATATATGTGCATTTAAAAGGAACACATATGCAATGAAAACGACCCCTCTATCTTTCACCCTTTTCTCCCTCTTTTCCTTTTCTCACATCCAATTCGATCCCAAAAGACACCCGCCCTACACGGTTCACATAGAGAAATTGGTCATAACCATTCACCCGGATCAATGTCACATGTATCATTCATTTAATATTACCTAAAGGGTCCATATGCTCAAGCAACCTGACATATCAAACATCATAATTTAGTCCTACAACATTCATAATAATGTCTCAATTTTTTTACCCAAAACAATAATATACAATTTCGTCTTTTTTTCCTCACCACATGCCTGCATTGCCTCTAATGTAGTATAATCCGTATAAATCCATTCTGGATATTCCCATATATTGTGGTTTTTGTTTTATATATATCCTTTCACTGATTTCAATATTTTCTTAGCCTAATCAGGCATTAGCATCTTAATTGAACAATTAATATTAATTCAAAATACTAGCCACAATTCGGTGGAATCCAACTTGTATTTTGAATTAATATGTAATTATTTTTGGTGAAGAAAAATATGAAGTACCCCCCTCCTATGTAAAAATTGCCCTAGATGTGATTAGGTTAGACATAAGGGTTTAGGTAATTTCCCATGATCGTGAATAATTTTTCATATGACAAATGAACAGATGAATATGTCAGATGAACAAAACAAATTACAACTGAATATTGAACAAACCTTCAACAGCTGTCAGACTCAAATCCTAAACGCTGCATCTCGACAACAATATTATAATAAAGAATATGAACTTTCTTTAAAATAATACAAATTTCACTGAGTCAAGAGAAAAGAAAACATGAAAGAAACAAAAAAAAAATAAAAAAAATAAGAAAGAACAATATAACTTCTTATAAACTGTCCCGCAATATCATCTTTCCCTTATGCAGAATAAAGGTTTTTTCTTTCTTTGACTGAAAAGCTAACATAATGGTTACAGTGTATGTCATTCTGCTTCACCTTCTGTGGTGGCTGAGGACATGTAACTCATCACAATGGAGGTTTCTTCTGATGGAAACCCCCCAGCAGTTGAAGACTGAAAGTGTTGTTTGCAAGTTTGACACGTTATTTCCATAACAGTGGAGCTTATCTTCTTGATGGCTTGCTTTCTCAAATCTTCCGCCTTGGAAAGCTCAGCTTGTGCTTGTTTCCTTATACTTTTCGCATTCTCAAACTCAAGTTCAGCCATCTCGATTTGTCTTTTAGCTTCTCTTCTAGCCTCTTCTGCATAAGCTTTTTCTGCCATGGCCAACTTGAGCTCCTCACCTGCAAACTCTTTCAACCTTGCCACTTCCAATGTGGAATAATCATTCACATTCCTTTCTGCACCAGGCGGGCTCCTATGTGTTTCTGAACATGCTCTCTCCGATTCACTCCCTTTGTCATTACTACATGAACCTATTGAAAGCTTCAAATGGGTCTCATAGTTTTCCTTTGAATTTCTCTTTTCTTGAGAACTTATTGAAGAAGATAAGAGTTGAAGTTCTAAGTTATGAGAGATGCTATGTTTGTTGGGTATCTCTGAAGTTAATAACGAAGCTTGTTGATCAGCTGGTTTCGGCAGTGGCATTCCTTGCAATGTTGGGGCTATACTAAAATTTGCCTCACTAGATGGACTTGCACTTGAAGCTGTTCTAGAAGAGCACGCAGGTTGCAGTGCTTGCAACTCTGGCCGGTGCTGCCGAACATTGCATGCATCTTGATGTTCTATGAAACTCTCCACCCTGAATGGATAAACAAATGTTTAGGTAATTAAAAGACATTATATATTAGAATATCATATATGCAAATATATGTTATGTCTTTGTTTTGTTGTATCTGAATATATAATTGGCTAGAGAAATTTAACTTGTTTAAACGAAGGTATGTATATGTATGAAAATCTTGGTAGTGTAGTGTTTATATAACAAGCATGAAGCAATATGAAAAATAATTAATCAAAGATCCAGTCCATCCATGATTCCGTGAGTAGGTTCAAATGGAATACTATAATAAATAAAATAAGACAGAGTGATCAAATTGATGTGGTCTTCGTAAGTGAAACGGAAAAAACAAATTGTTCCCAGCTACTGTATATGAGGGTATTTGTGTCTTGTTTAGTTTGTCAGTAAAAGTGTGAAGATACACTGTCCACAAACTTAAAAGTTGTTGTCATAGGAACTCCTAAACGATGTGCAAAAGCCAGAATGAGGTGGATTAGGTGTATACAGTATTCATAACACAATGCTTATAAATATGAAAATTTTCAACTTCTGTTACTTTTCAAAATATAGTAATTAATAACCTCAACAAGATGGAAAATCTTTCACATAAAGGGTATATGAGACTTATAACTTCTATTTCTCTACACCATCCTTGTAACTAGCTAAAACTTTAGGGTTTGACTTCCAAGAAAGCTGCAGAAGAATAATCACATAATTATATACATAATTTAAGAGGTAAAATAATACCAATAGTTTGTTTGGTTTCCGTTATTAAGAACAAAAACAAGTGCAGCTGAGCAGGGGCTGAAACTGATGAGAATACACAGAAACCGAGAAAGAGAGAGAAAGAAAGAGAAAGATGGAAACTTGGAATGAACGTGGGTGTGTGAGAAGTGGAAGAGATAAAAACAGAAACCTGGAAAAGACACGGCCACAGTCACAGGAATGGCCTCTGGTGCCACAGGTTTTGATGTGGGCTTTGTAATCAGACTGAACTGCATAGCCTTTGGAGCACTTGTCACACACCCACTGCTTATGATTACTGTGCTTCCTTCTAAAGTGCTTCTTAATTCCCACGAGGTCTCCAAGGGCATGGCACGGGTCATGGTGCAAACAGCTTGGTTCTGGACACACAAAAACCTTCTTCTTTTGCCCTTGTGTTTCCCTCTTGAGTAATTTCCACGGCACCTTGTGCCTTCGCCTGTGCATTTGAAGATTCTGGTCCCTCTGAAACCCTTGGTTGCAGATCTCACACACGTATCTGTCAGATTCCAGCAAGGTGGTGGGTGAGAGGGACACAACCTCAGCATCTGGATCTGCTTATATGTATAAATATATAAACACACGACAACAACAACAACAAAATTTAAAGAAATTAACTTTGGAGAGAAAAACAGAACCCCACAAAATTTGTTTAGTTTAAGATAAAAGCTTGAAACTTAAGACCCCCAAAAAAAGGAAAACTTTACCGGGTGTGCCTGCGGGTCTTCTTTTTCTTTTGTTAGGAACCCCATTTTCAGATAATGCAAAGGCAGCATCAGAAGAAGAAGGAGCACCAGAAGAAGCACTGTTGTCTAACATGGGTGGAATTTTTGTGCGAGTGCTTTGAGGACTATATGTTAGGAGAAGTTTACGCGATTAGTTGCCACAAGCAGTACAACAGATGAGGTTTGTAATAGTGGGGTTTCAGCTTTAGTCGTAGAAAGAAGGTGAGAAATGATGATGGCACAAGAGAAGAGAGAGAGAGAGAGAGAGAGAGAGAAAAAAAGGTGTTGCTTTATGTAATCAGCTTTCTTTAACGCTTTTTTTTCTTAGCTTTTTCTTCTTTTCCACGAGCTTTCTTTCTTACTTTGTTGTTTCATTGACCCCTCACCTCGAGCAGGTAAGGTTGAAGGCAAGTCTTGTTTATAAAGCTCCCTCATCAACAGTGTGTGTGGGATTAAGGGGTCTTTTGCTTGGGGCTGACCCAATCCAATGAAAACATGGTTGAAACTACACACACACACACACACGGAATTTTGGACACAAACAAAAAAAACATACTCTTGGAACCACATGAGAAAACAACAGCATAGTCATTATTCATTCATGGCACTGTAATATTTGCATGAATAAATGCAGGCCAAGAGCTTCACATCACGCGTGAACTCACTCACTCTCTCTCACGTGACACGTGTGTGACACTTTGCTACAGAAGATAATGGCAGGGTAAATAATGAGATGCGATAGGGTACAGCGAAAATTCAGTTACCAATGGCGCACGAATCTTCCATCAATCCTGGAATTAACATATCCATAGACATTATCTGTTGGATCTAAGGGGAAGGACACAACACCCAATTTCATATCTAATATATTTTAGATCATTTTAGAGCTGTTTTTGTTATTAAATTTGATCATGTATTAATTATTCTAATGAGAATTATTCATTATTAATACTGTTTTTTAATATACGATTTATTAAAGTAAAATTTTGTTTCTAATTAAAAAGAGCTTCGTTTCCTGTGAGTAAAATATAAAATCTAGGCCTAAAAATAAAATTAAAATAAATAGACAGACTGTTGAAAGAATTTTGTCATTTTAAATGACCCTATAAAAAATTAACTTAAATTAATTGAGATTGAAAGTAGAGCCGATAAAATGAATTTACCTAACTGAAAAAACTCTAAGCAAGAATATACAGTTTTGATTTTAAATTTTGAGTTCAAATTGCTAAGTTTATAAAAAAATTAAACCTTACCATTTTTTGGACATTTTTTATCAGCCCAAATTAAATATGAATTTTTTTAACATAATTTATATGATTATATATATATATATATATATATATATATATATAGGATTAATTTGAATTTATATAACAAAAAATTTTATCTACTATTTTTTAAAAATATCAACTCCTTTTATTTGTTTCTTAGTCATGACTATAGATGTAGAATTTAAAGATTATTTTCCTATTTATATACTTAACAAAATATTGTTAATTTTTTGCTCGTATAAACATTATTTTTAATTGGAAAAAGTTTGAGTATCTACAAATTAAATTTTTCATAAAACCATATTTTCATTTAAAACAAAACATACCTTGAAGAGCATTTTGAAACCATTTATATATGCTGTGCATAGTTGATGGACGTAGATTTCGACAAATTTTAAATTATTTTATTGTGACGTAATTTGGACTACATTTGTAAGACAAAATTGTGCCATGCATTCAATGCAAATAGAAGTACTTTCACATGGGAAACTACACTCAACATGCATGGTATGGTGGTAATATTGTATAACTCAATTGTGTTATTTTATTATTATTATTATTGCTAAAGTGTCTTTAACTTTAGTCACCTCTTCTCCCAAAATTTTTATCTTTGTTTTTGTTTAATTCTCATTTCTTTGGTAAAGTAAATTTTGTTTATTTAAACCACATATATTCAAAGGTAAATTCTTTTTCTAAATATTCAATTCAAAATTTAAATAATATTATATTAAATTAAGATTTAGTAAAATCAATATTAGTCGATAAATAAGTAAAAGTGATGGGAGATTATTTTTTCACTCAATTTAAAAGTAATATTTTTTTATTTAAACAAAATTTAGTTTCTTTTTAAAAGTCATGCAAACAAATTAAAATGATATTATTTTTGTAGAAATTTTGTAATATCCTATTTTGTTGACTCTAAAGTGTTCTCTCATGACACAGTCCACCATTCTCTTATCTCTTATTTTTCTTTATTGGTTGTTTGTTTGCTCTTATCTTGTTCTTACTTTTTATCTTTCTGTTAGATTTCACGAAAATTGGGCGTTATAACATGGTCTTATCCAAAATCATTCTTGTATTTATTTTTTATTGGTAGGATTGGAATTATTCAAAGCTAAAGTTGGAGAATTATTTGCAGGACACTTTCATCTTCTCTCTTTTCTAAATATTTTTTCTGGGATACAAATAAATCACAGTCTTCTTAAACTTAGAAAGGTGTTGCAGTGGCAGGCGCTGATCCAGATACTTTCTAACATACATGGAAAATAATGTGAATTTGACCAGGATGATTAGGAAAGGCTTAAAATAGTGATACTGAGTAAAAGACAAAATAATAAATGGATCATTTAATAATGTGGACGCAATTAATAAAAAAGTGTTCAAGATATATAATAGAAATTACTCAAGTTTATGCCTGGAAATTTTCATTTAGATCTAGAAATACAATAGTAAAGCTCATGCGAAGCTTAATTAGAGCTTTGTGCCAGTAATCAGAAGCTATTGCTCTTAACTTTGTGCTGCTTTTTGTGTTTTTCTTTATTAAATTTGAACAAAAAAAAGAATATATTACTATTTCAAAAAATGAAAATTAATATTATGTTCGTGTATATATATATATATATATTAAATAATCTAAATATTCAATTAAATAAGTACTTCATTTAACCCAAAAATTAAGAAAAAAAAACTAAAATTAGAATTTGAAAGAAGAAACACTGTTAAAATAATAAAATTGCATATCAGCAAGTTAGTCTCAAACTAAAAGGTATGTAAATACGAAGTCAACAACTCTAAAATGTTTAAGATATTTTAGATTAACAGCTAACTCAATTTTAAAGTCTAAACTCTCTTTAACTATTGAATTGAGTCCACGTTTCAAATTTTAATAGTGTCATAGCCCAAGTAAACAATGGTCCAATGAAAAGAATCAATTGAAAAAAAAAATGTTCCACCATCTTAATACAATTCCCTTACTCAACAATCCAACCAATTTTGAATTAGATTTACTTTCGGGTCACAAAAAAGTCTTAGCCACCCACTTTTGTCAAATTGTTGAACTTAATTGAAGAGCCAATCTGCAACACAAAGTCTGACGAGTTCAGAAACAAACTTACGACATATTTGTGTGTAAAGTAAAACTTGTAAATTAAGATTCACTTTCACACAATCTTTGTCCTCGACGCTGAAAAACATGGTTATTTTAAATTGGAGAGTTTTTTTAATTTTTTTTTTTTTTTTGTATATTTGCATGGATTGTCGTATCTAGTTCATTATTAAATTGAGCCAATTGAGCCTACTTTACGTTTATGATAAATAATAAAGGATTATATCAAAATATATATCTAGATGTATACAAGATTCAATTTGTCCACTAATTTGTGTTGGATCAACGTTAATTTCGACGGACTTAAATTTTTAAAATTAGAATTAAAGACGAATTTGGATCTAATAGAGACAATGAAAATCATGTTTCGCGTACGCTCCTAACAATATATCCATTAACTAATCTCTGTCTCTATCTTTATCTTCTGAAATACAATTACGTTTCGTCTCTTTCAAGCTTCTCTGATCAGGACCGTTGAGCAAGAAAATAGACATCACCACAATTCCCAAGTATGATATTTTTGGAGGTCAGAGAACACTACCCTCAATTGCATGAGGCAACCTATGAAGAAGGGCTGATTTGTTGATGTGAATTGAAGCAGCTAGCAACAATAGTTTGATCTCCTAATTATCATCAACACTATGTGAAAAGAAGGATGAATTTCATGTTCAGCCTTGCATGCGCTGTGTTTTAACGTTTAACACCGTCTTGAGAAATGATGGTCATGCATGCACGTCACTTAATTTGCGTGATTGAGTATGGATGCTATAGGTGTAAGCTTCCTTCGTAAAAATATGTTGGAATATAACCTTCTGCTTTTGGATTCTCATGCATGTAACTAATTCAATTCATTTCGAGTTAATGCCGCATGTTTGTTCACTTTTTCAATGGCTTGTGTTGCTTGACATCATTGTCAAATTCTTAGGGAATACAGTGAAGTGATTTATAACTACAACATTCAGCATCACTAAGACCTCTATTAGCGTCCAATTCAAAGCCAAATCAAGGGATTTTAGCCTCACATTTTTCTTTTTCTTAAATTTGGATTAGAGCCTAAGTAAACTCCAAAAATTACCATGTAAGGAGAGGATTGCTTTAACTTTTATGAAGTCATATTTGTAATCAATGTGAGACTTTAACACTTTTGATCCCTTCCACCTCATTTTTCGGCTTTCAGCTACCGGAAGCATTCAATTGTACTCGTGTTTCAACACATTTGATACAGTGTCCTCTTTATCTCCCCCTAAGTTCCCATTTTCATCATTTCCATAATTTATTCCATATTGGCCCATTTATTTATCTACTGTTTGCACCCTTTCATGATCCACAATAGATTCAGGAAACAATGACATACACTGTAGTTATAACTTTTTTAAATAACTTATAACTTTCCCATTTTTTAAAACTTATTTTAAGAAGTTTGATAGTTAAATTTATTAGAAAATTTTCACTAACAAAAACTTATTAAATAAGTTGTTAATTAACATGCATTATGATACGCACCCAAATTTCAGTGGTTACAGTTCATCTAAAATAGGCACAAAGCCGATACATGATGAAGCTGCTGCATTCGTGTACCCCAATTTCCTAATTGGTACAATAGCCCAGTTGCATAACCTAGTGACGCACGTTCCAATAGTTCCTTGTGCCATCATTGCAACTATGCCAATGCATTATTTACTCTCACCATGATGCACTTTAACTGTTTTACATTCGATTTTACTCTAAAAACCATTAGAAGAACCAAATTTCATTTGAATAGTTTAATGCTTGCATTTGTTTAATTACTTGTGCAATGAAATAATGATAGGCTGCAAAGAATATTGTACAAAATAGAAGAGACAGAGCAAGACCACTGGGAGGTTCCATCACCTCATCTGGGACCCAACCTTTGAGCAAAGGAATCTCACCAACATCATTCTTTTGCTTAGTAAAATATTAGGGATCTCAAGAAGATTACCCTTTTACCCAAATTAGGACAGTAGGGCCCAACTACAATAGTCACTATAACACACTGTAGTAGCTACAATCTTCTAATCAAGATTTCCTTCCATCTTGTGAAAATCGCCAATTTATCAT